ATTTATTGTGGAAAGTAAAAATGCTTCTCAGCCTATCTAGATAATGGAAGAACTGTAAATAGTGCTGATTTGGAATCCTGCATACTCTGCCACTAGCCATCTGCGAATTTTCCTTTACACCAGGGATGATTTGATAGTGGATGGCTCAGAACTCTCTCTGGGTGCTTAGTAAATCTTGCTGACTGACCGAGTAACCCTTTGCTCTTGCATTTGTTATGCTGGAGCCTGAGGGGTGATGGACTGAACTTTCACCATCAACCTCCAGTCAGTGATGTCACCGTTCTGTCCCTGCCATCCATCCCTGGGAGTGTAAATGCCTTTACCCTTGTCTTGTATGTACAATGCATCTTCTTTCTCTTGTCCTTTTGTCTTGACTGTCTGTGTCCACTGTGTCCACAGCACTGTTGGCATGTGGCAAGGTGAAAGCCAGCAGGAAAGCAGGCAGTGAACTTAGCAATTATGAGTTGAGACTCTGGTACCAGAGAGGCCTGGGCTGGCTTCCTGCCTCTGTCAGTACTATGTCATTTTAATTTCAAGGACTCCGTTTCTGAACTTGTAAAATAAGAATAAGAGGCATGCTTCAGAGACTTGCAAGATGATTAAATGAGACTCCGCACATCAAAATACCTGTCTACTATACGCATTCAATGCATAGTGATCATTAGGTGAGGGCCATTCATGGGTCTTTGGCATTCTTGCCTTTGAGAGCAAAAGACTGGACAGAAGATTTAAAATTACGTTCTATTTTTGGGTTGGCATAAATGTAAACAAATCTATATTATATTAAAACATCTATTTAATTTAAATACTTTATTTTGTTTTAAAATAAATTAATAATTTGTATGCAACCCTAAGAATCCCCTGGATACTGTTAAACTGATGGGTATGTCAGCCCCAGGTACATGATGTGTTTCAAGATCCTTCCTTCTACCTTTTCCATGAGATTAATTATTTTCTGGAACCAGCCTCTTGCCAGGATCATATACTGCCCTTACCGTATTGTACTGCAATTAAATAAATTGCCTGTGTCTTGCTTTCTTCTCTGTTTCTCCAGCTACTCAAAAGGTCCACGCCATGGAGCTCCCAACCCTCCAGTTCTACTGTGTCCTTCTCTTCTCTATTTAAACCCACGTCTTCATTGCCCATTATTCTGATAGTCTTGTTCCCCTGGGGGTTTGTCCTTGTTCTGATGAGTTGCATAGAATGTTCTAATAGACTCTTTCCACTGAGATATCATCAGCTAACTCTGTTCCTCCTCTCCTGCTACTATAGTGTTTGCGTTTTCACAAGAATCTTTAAAAAGAGACTCTACAGTTGATGGTGACCCTTTTGAGCTTTCAATGATACAAATAGTCCACAGTGACGAATGTGCCATAGGTTCACCACCACTGTTATATCATAATTCAATATCATGTATCTGATGGAAGTATTCTAGTCCAGCAAAGGTATATAAACTTTGAGAAACATTTAGATTGTATTGTACCAGCAGTTTTGTGCCTACTACACCTGTGTATTCAGTAGGCCTTGGCAATATAATTATCACTGTAAACATCTAGAATGCTGAACACATGACTCCGCATATCTACCAACTTCACTTGCTAAAAAGTGATACTGGAGGTTTAGTAGGGTGTCTTCTATCCCAATAGAAATGCATTAACACTTTTTCTGTCTCCCACTTAAAGCATTTCTCTAGCTATGCTTAGTGATGGCCTTGCATTGCTATACATGAAGAACAAACTACATTATTGTTCATTATTTTCAGAGTTTGGGCAGGAAAATGATCTCAAAGATAACACTGTTTGTAAGGAGAAAACAATGGCACACAGAAGTGATATACAGTGTCAAACCTGAAGTGGCAAATAAGTTAAAGGCAGAATCAGTGTTAGAGTGCACACAACTGTTTAGTACATGGCTGTCGTAGCATTTACCTCTGTTAGTACCAAGAGTGTCATTTTCTACAGACCAGAGGCTCTGCACGGGGAATACTTGGTTGGATTCCTGGTTTCATTGATTACTGTGAGTGTCACCTAGAAAGGTTATTCAATCTTTAAGTCTTATTTGCAAAGTAGGCAAAAGGGTAGAAATAGTATCAACCTTTAGAGTTGTGAGAAATCTTTTAGTCCTCCAAATTCAGTGAGATTGTTAATACAAAGACTTTAGCATGATGCTTAGTATACAAGCCCTTAATAAATGACGGGACTATTATTACTCTTGTCACTGCTTCTGCTGCCAATCCTAATTCTGTTACTGCCCCTACAATGCTGGTGGTGTAAGGAGAGAGTTTCCCAGAGTGTTCTGCACTGCCCAGGGAGTGGCTGGAGCAATAGGAGAATCTGGCAGAACAGGTTTTTTTTTTAAAGGGGTGGAAAATAAATCAAGGGCGATAACTTAAACCTGAAAAAAGAATGTAGTCTTTTGTTTGTTCTTAACTAGCTGCAAATGAACCTCCAAAAGGCTGAAATAAATCCCAGGCAACATGGCTGGATCTTTTTGGTCTGCAATCTTTCTGGCCCAGGAGGAACTACTGTGGCAGTTTTGAGTTTCTCTGAACGTGATGGTGGCTGACATTGTTCTGCGATGATGCTGTCCATGCCAATAAGTAGACAAGATTAGGACTCAACAAATCATAAAGAGAGCAAAGAAGGAGATAGAGAAGTTTCAGGTCCAGGTATAATGTGTGCCCTTCCCCTTGCTACAAATTGTTCGTCACTGAATGTGAAGCCTCAGGGGACATAAGAACTTTGGCTGAAAATGACAGATGGTTCGTATTAGCTCAGGTAAACAGACAACTCGCTATAAAGATCCCATACTATATGAAATGAAACAAAGACAGATGCCCAGCTAACCTTCTATCAGTGTGTGTGCCTCTTCTCTGCCTCATTCTGCTTTCTTTCTACAGATGGCTTTGGTTCATATAATGGAACAACAACTTATGTTTTGGAAAACACCATTCAGCTTGATTTTCCTTTCCATGTCTACAATTCCTATGAAAGGGATTGATTGGCCCAGCTTGGGTCAGGTTTCTTTCTCTGGTTACTAAGCAGCAATTGTAAAAAGTTAAGACCTGTTATACCAGCACTGCACATCCACTGTAACTGTATCCTTCTTGTAAAGATGAGGAATGACTGAAACAGGCACTGGAAAACTAGATGCAAAGAAATATATTATTCACAATCAGGTTTGTGCTGCATTCTGGCCACTCCCAGTGTTCTCATGACTTTACCTGAAATCTAAGCTGTTTCTATACTCACTGCCCCTGGCTGCTCCCTACTACATAGGACCTAGCCCTAAAACAATCTAATTCTAGATAACTGAGTAGAAATAACAGAGGACCACCCAGACCTTATGTTATAATCCAGGTCTGCCATTTTTTAGCTATATGACCCTGAGCAGGTGTCTATCTACAAAATAATAATAATAATAATAATGCCTATCTAATGGAATAGGCATGCAGATTAAATAAAATAAAGCAACAATACTTAAAATATTTGACTTATATACTTATGTTAATTTCTTAATTAAGCTACCTAGAAATCTTCAGCAGGGTAAGGGAGTGGTTCTAAGTGAGAATAAAAGTGATAGAATATCTTATCTGAGAAGTTTTTCTGTCTCAAGTATTTTACAATTATCCTGAGCAAAAAATTAAATAATGTAAGTGGGTTAGCAGCATTGAGTAAGCCACACTTTGACAGATAAAGTCCCTCACTTTAGAGATAAATCAATAAGGATCAGAGGGCCAGTGATGAATGTCTTAACCTTCTTGCAAATGAATTGGTTTCTTTTCTAATGACCAAGACTTATAAACTATAATTTGTTTACAGTTAGTGAGTAAAGCACTTTAACATTCATGAGCCCCTTAAATGTTGCCATTTGGAGACACACTCACTTTTTAGAATGTAATCAGCATACTTGTCCTATGAACTATAATTTGTTGAGTAGTTATTACGCCAGTACTGTACTAAACATTTACATAGGTTATCTAATTTCTTCCTGAATTAAATGCTATGGTTCCCATTTCCAGATTATGAAGTTGAGGCTCAGATAAGCAAATTTCCAAGGCCACCTAGCACTCAGTGACACTTGCAGACTTGGCTTAGCCCCCTCCTAGTGCCTGAGCTTTTAACACTTGTGCAGTGCCACCTGTCAAAACCTTGGTACCAGGATGTACAGACAGGCAGCTAAAGAAACTAAAGAAAATCTGTGCTTAGAGTATCTCTTTAGTGAATTATAATCTCATGGCTTTTGTGTCTCTACACAATATGGTCCTTTCTAGCATGCAGTGGCTGAGGCAGTGTGCAGGGACACTCTATATCTCAGGTAAAACCTTGGAACAAGGGGTCTGGGAATGGCCCGGATGTGGCACAGGGCTAAATACTAACAATATGCTTCTTGTTGTCTAGCTCATGATGGGCTTGAATGCAAAGCACTGAAATTATAGAAAGAAAATTAAATGTGCAATAGATGATATCTACTTGGAACTGAGAATGATTTTATTTACTTAAAGGGTATTAGTGATAACAGGGTTGAAATTGTGAAAACAAAACAAAACAAAAAAACCAAGCACTTCATCTAAGCTTTAAATTTGTTAGTTTTTTCCAACTTGGTCCAAATTGTATGTGCTGTAATCATCCATAACTGCATGTGCAGTGTACTATTCCAGAAAATAAGAATGACTTAGTGATTAATCTCAGGTATTGTGAATAACTCTATGTATTTGAAGGATTTTTTTTATCCAGTGACCTCTGTACCAATCATGAACAACACTCATCTCTAACCTAATTGATCTCTCATCCAGAAATATTTGTGTCATTGTGAGTTCTGATATGTTCTAGATTGTGCCTCACTTGTAATTGTCATGTTTCACTGCATCCTATGTGTAAATGAAAAAAAAAAGTTTTTTTACTGCTGAGTACTACTGAACTGCTTTTGACTTATACTATAATTGGATTAATATCTCTCTCTTCCTTTCTCTCTTTGTTTGTTCCCTTTCTGTCTTTCAGCTCCAGGGTTCCTTGAAAAGAAAACAGGGAGTCAACCTATCTCCTGCCAATAGCAAGAGGCCCAACGGCTTTGTTGACAACTCATTCCTGGACATCAAAAGAATCCGTGTTGGGGAGAATCTCTGCACAGGACAAGGTGGTCTCCAAGTAAATAATGGACAAAGTCAAATTATGCCAGGAGCTTTGCCTCTCAACCAGGCACCTCTGAGAAAGACTAACACGTTGCCACCACATGCAAATTCTCCTGGCAATGGCATGTTTAACATGGGCTTAAAGGAGGTAAAGAAGGAGCCAGGAGAGACTCTGTCTTGTAGTAAGCACATGGATAGCCAAATGACCCAAGAGAATATTTTTACCAATAGGTTTGGAGATGACCCTGGAGAGCAGCTGATGGATCCTGAGCTACAGGAACTATTCAATGAACTGACCAACATATCTGTGCCTCCCATGAGTGACCTTGAGCTGGAGAACATGATCAATGCCACCATAAAGCAGGACGACCCATTTAACATCGACTTGGGTCAACAAAGCCAGAGAAGTACTCCCAGACCCTCTTTGCCCATGGAGAAGATAGTGATCAAAAGTGAATATTCACCTGGGCTGACTCAGGGTCCCTCGGGCTCTCCTCAGTTGAGGCCCCCATCAGCTGGTCCTGCATTTTCCATGGCCAACTCTACCCTCTCCAGTTCATCACCAATTCCAACAGTTCCCCAGAATCAGGCTCAGCCTCAAACAGCATCAGGAGCAAACCGGGCTCTCCCAAACTGGCAGGAAGTATCCCATGCCCAGCAGCTCAAACAGATAGCTGCCAATCGTCAACAGCATGCCCGGATGCAGCAGCAACAACAGCAGCATCAAACTGTCAACTGGTCACCCTTGCCTTCTGCTGGACCATCGCCAGGTTCATTTGGGCAGGAGAAAATCCCTAGTCCTTCTTTTGGTCAGCAGCCATTCAGCCCACAGGGTTCCCCCATGCCAGGGGTAGCAGGCAGCAGTAACCAGTCAAAAGTAATGGCTAACTACATGTACAAGGCCAACCCCTCAGCCCAGGGTGGGCACTTAGATGTGCTCATGCAGCAAAAGCCTCAGGATCTCAGTCGAAGTTTTAACAAACCACATCCGGCCCTGGAACCTTGTCATGGCAACACCAAGCCTTTATTCCATTTTAACTCGGATCAAGCAAACCAGCAGTTGCCTTCTGCTTTACCTTCCCAGAGTAAGCCTTCTCTCCTGCACTACACCCAGCAGCAGCAGCAACAGCAGCAGCAGCAACAACAGCAGCAGCAGCAGCAACAGCAGCAGCAGCAGCAACAGCAGCAGCCGAGTTCTATTTCGGCTCAGCAACATCAGCAGCAGCAGCAGCAGCAGCAGCAGCAGCAGCAGCAGCAGCAGCAGCAGCAACAGCAACAGCAGCAACCATCATCCCAGCCAACCCAACCTGTATCAACCCAGCCTTTGCTAAGGTCACCGTTGCCTCTTCAACAAAAGATCCTGCTTCAGAAAATACAGAATCAGTCTATCACAGGCCTGGGATATCAAGCCTCCCAACAGCACAGACAGGTAAGGGCTCTACAGCCTCAACCCCAGGGTTCCCAGAGACTAATTAACTTGGCTCTATGCTTTGGTTACCATTATGTTCATGTTGGGATATGAGCAAGACCAAAATCAGTAGTGGTCTTTGTGGACTCACATAAAACCTGGTTTTCTGGGAGTGTCTAAAGGCCAGGGCTCATATTTCCTTATAAAGCATTATTGTCACTGGGATGTTTAGTGATCAAATGCTTAATTATCAAGCAAACTAAAAGAAAAATATTGTATTATAACTGATACTATTAATGACATATCCAGTTGTCAGTCAGATTCTGATACCCTTGATATCCATTTATCTAACCAGTAAACCAGGCACTAAATCAATACACTCTCCTTGAATTTCTGCCATGTGTAGGATGTTGTGATCAATGTTGAGTATTGCAACAAGACCAGAGGGTATTAAGAGTACTAAATGACTGTCTTATTCTGCACTAACAAACTATAATGTTTCAGTGCTCAATCTATCATAGAAGATCCTGCTGTGACTCCATATGGAGCATGTGAACTGAGTGTCAGCCCTGACTACGTATTATTCCTATAGCTTCCAGTTTGTAGAGGGGAACAGACTTCCATAACTGTCATTTTAATACTGAGTAGAAAGAATACCAACATGAGAGAAGAGATTAGGTAGCTTCCCCAGAAAAAGAAAATCAGAAAAGGCTTCTGGGAAATGTAATGTGTAACTGTTTAAGCATTAAATAGCAGGACTACTGAGAAATAATCTATGGCTTCCTTACGTGCTTTGTTTAAGATAAAATAAATCTTCATTCCACCCAAATATAAGGAAAGTATAAAGATAACTGCATGTAGGTTAGGACTTACAAGCAAGTAAGTCCTAACCTACATGCAGTTATCTTTACAAGCAAGTAAGTCCTAACCTAAGGAAATTGCAAGAGGAAAATCCTCCTGGAAGGAAGGCAGGAAGAAGGAAAGGAAGAAACGAAGAAAGGAGGGAGGGCACGAGGGGAAGAGGAAGTAAGTTTGAAACTGCTTTATGCATGTTACTTCAAAAGACTACATTAGGTATCCGTGCTCAGAGATGGCATATTATATGTCTACACAGTGCATTAGGACAGTATGATAGTGCAAACCTTAAATCTAGTAGCATTCGTAGAGTCGTTTGCATGGCTACCACCCAGAAAAAAAGTACTGCGAATACCACAGAGTGTGTCCAAATTAACCTCTGCCTTAGATGTGGGCTAAGAGAACACTCAGTACAAGGAAGATTCGGTGTCCCAAGTAAAGGCCTCAGCTCTTACTCACTTAGAATTATATGTCTATGTGTGCATATTTTAGTGTTAAGTGTATACTATAGCAAATAGACTTGGAGTAGACTAATACTGTATGCTATGTGCATATGTATGACATAATCCTTTAATAATTATTCTGTAAACAGGTGATTTGGGGATCATTTAAAGACAAATTGTGAAACTGCTTTCTAATGCCTGTGTAGGCATTTTGATTTAGGGAGCAGTAGCTCTGGGTCCTAGCTGTGCCACTTCATGCAATTTTGAACCCCTCTCAGCCTGTTTTCTCATGTGAGGGTGATAATAATATCCACTGGGGTTGCACTGAGAATGAAGTGATATATTTCCCAATATTTCCCAAAGAGTCTCGAATAAGATTAGTATTGTGATCATAATGTAAAGAACAATATATTCAAAACACATTTAAACAACCACTAGTCAAATGTAGGAGAGTAACTGGTTTAATACAAGCTATATTTCTAAAATAAATTCTAACATAAACAGTATGGAGGAAATAAGAGAAAACTGCCCTTAATTTTTTCATTATGCCACAGTTATAAGTATGTCACAATTTATCCTCTCAGGCCCAGAGTTCTGACCATAAAAATGGAAATTACAACTAATAGGATAGCAATAAGTTAGTATCTTTTAGTACTTACTCTGTGTCTGGCATGATTTCTCCATTACTTGTGGTATGTCATTTCACCCCTATAAAGGAAGTGCCATAATCCCCATTTTATAGGTAGGAGAAGTGAGGAACAGGATCAATAACTTTCCCAAGGTCACACAGGTAATAAATACTAGAGCCAGGATTCAGATGGTCTACTTTAAAGACTATGCTTTCAACCACTATTATATATAGATTACAAGTAGGATTTGTTGGGAAATGAATAACCATTGTAGGTCTCTGTAAGAGCTCTGAAAAATAGTTTCTTCTAATATGGAGCCCTATTAACATAAACTGCATATAAAATTAAAACCTTTAAGGATTAAAAATCTTAATTCTCTAACCTTCAAAGCTGTTAAAGAAAGTAATTTTAAAAACAATTATGTGATATTTGATCTTCTTGATATGTATTATGGAGCTAACAAAAACACTCGGTTCACATCAGGAAATATATCCCTTTGGTGTTGTATTAGCTCTTTTTTTGAGAACCTACCTGCCACCTCCAGTAGCCTCTATCTTGTTTCCTGACTCACTACTGGTATAAGTAATGTACACATTCTCCTGTCGTCTTAATCTCCACTTAGGCTTCCAGGATCCAAGCACACCAATGGTGCTGATGGCCAGATCAACACCTCTCAATACCTGGGATCATTTTTTTTATATTTCTGAGCACATATAATGCGTATGTTTCCAGCAAATTTTACATTTCTTCAAGAAAGCCTTTAGAAAGTAGTAGAAATTATATTAACATTCCAATCTACAGGCTTCTCCTACACAAGCTGGCCATGGCCACTAACTTACTCATTTTATGAACTGAACGTTGTCCCTCCTAGGCCAGTAGTTCTCTGGAGTCTGTTTCTAAAGTCCTGTGTCTGAGATTTATGCAAATATACCAGGGATCTGTACTAAAGAAAGTATTTTCCTCTTGCAAGAAATCATTCTAGAAGAGGTATACAGTCTAATAATGGTACTATTGTTTGGTATAGAATTTATCTGCGGGTTGTCCCTAGGGCACACAGAACATTTGGTAGATTATTGCCAAAATAATAATATTCATGCTGTCAGGGTGACTTTTTGAAAATAATCAAACTGGGGAATGTGGCTTTGGGTCACAACCAAAGAATAGCTATGATATGACAAGGCTGTATTTCAAGGGCACTGTATGAACTTTCTCTGAAGGAAATAACTAAAAGAAATGAGTTGCTTCTCCAGATGATAGTGTCAAGAAGCAATTTTCATTTGTTTTACATATATATATGTATATATATACATATATATATATATAGCTAAGATCTTCTAGTTCTTATAGTAACTGTTCTTAATTTAGAGTAGTTTTAATGCTTCAGTCTACAATATACAGTAAAAAAATGTGTGTGTTCTCATATCAAAACAGGTAAATATCTGTTACTTATAACCAAAATCACAGATAGGAGAAGGGGTTGAGAATTAGACAATTCTTAAATTTGTCAAACAAAATATCTTAAATAAAAATACTAGTCAAGTATTTTTTTTCTAGTTGTCATACTCATTTTGTGGCAAACATAGGAAAATTTATTATTGGATTTGCTAATTGGAAAACTTTAGCCTTGGAAATGGTAGAAATCTTGGCTCTCTGCTACAAAATGGTGGTTGGAATTGGTTAATCAGTCGCTTGCAGTTTACTCAGTAGATGTGCGAAGGTGAATTTCTCTTCCAGAGCTCGGAACCCAGATAGATCCACATGCTCAGACAGAAGCTGAATGTGGGGGTTTTCTGCAGCCCTCTCACTCTCCTGTGTACTCACTTCTGTTCCTTTTGATGGGAATGATGCTTGAGGGACAGATGCAGCATAATCAAACTGGTGGATTTGTCTTTATTATTTCATGCTTTGACTAGGAAAACAAATGTTATTTGGTGTTTCTTAAAATGTCCATGGTAGACTCTTGTCTCAGTAATATTTTGGAGTTTAGCAAATAGAGACCTTGTGGATATGATTTTCTTCTCTTCTTGACTTGAAGGCTATGAGAGAGGAAAAGAAAAGAACACGACACAAGAATTTCTGATTCAAGTCTTCAGACACTTAGTAAAGTCTGAGAGAATATTGGCTGACTAGAGCTCACAAGGATTCAATCCAAAAGTTCTTACCTCTTGAATCAAAACGTGATCTGTTTCAGAACTATATAATCAGTCACTTAAAGTATAAAATTTTCCTAACATTAGATCCATGCAACTAAAGTGGGTTCTATATTTGGTTTAGAATTCTCCCATGTCTAAAACTTCTGGGAGGGAAGGCAGCCAGAGAATGAATGGTTTGTTATGACTGAAACATAAATTTGTACATTTCCTCCTAGTTTAAAGCCAACTTCTTCAATCATGAACTTCCTCCAACTCTCTCTACCTAGGCAAACTTAGCTTCACTACTCCATATCAACTTTTGGTATAAATTAAGCAACTATTCCAATGTCTTCTTCCCTACTTCTTTAAGGTAATTTTGCATGCCATCTGATTTTAAGGATGAATACTCAGAAATTTGTTATCAAAGTGGCCCAAATGGTGCAAGAGGAATCACTTTAGGCATATATACTGACACTACAACTAAGCTTTATTACTCAAATGAAAGTGCCAAAAAGGACATAGAAACCTTCTATCTGCTAAAAGTGTCTTTTTAATGGAAAAATCTTGGATTCAATGTTTTGCAGTAAAATGACATCCAAGCCATGCCTACACTGCTGGCTAGTGGGTGACTAAAAGATCTACAATTAGGCTGGTTTAGTTTGGGCTAAGAGGCTAAAAGCCAGTTGGAGGACATCAGGAGCACAAAAAGGCCAAAAGCAAAGCCAAGCCAAAGTCCTAAAGATGCTCAGAAACAGTGCATTCATAACCCAAGAAGGAGGCCAATAGTGATAAGCCTCTCATCAAAGTAAATTTAAGTGACATGGACTCTGGAGTAAAGATGGGATTGAACCATAAAAGTAGGTAGGTGGTTATTGCAAATGACTCATGAGCATTTGATAGCTTCCATTATTACCTGCACTGCATTTTGGTAAGAGGGAGAAAACTTAACTGCAGACTTATGC